GCGGTGCGGTGCGCGGGGCGGTGCGCGGAGCGTCCCCGGGGCCGCCGCGGTAAGAGGCGGCGGGAGCTGTCCGTGCGCCGCGGTGCTGAAGGGCCGTGGCGGCGGGCGGGGCACGGTGCGGGACAGATGGACGTATGTGTGTAGGGATGGACGGACACAGGCACACGGACGCAGAAGGAGGACACAGACGTACGCGGGCAGATGGACAAGGTCACACGCACGCACCAAGGAGACAGACGGACGCACGGGCACGCGAAAAGCGACAAGCGCGTTCACAGTAAGGCGCACGCATGCACACGCCGAGAGCCAGACAGACAAAGGGACAAGCAGACGCGCAGAGAGACACGCAGATGCACGCGCAGATGCACAGGCAAGGAGAGGCAGAAACACAGAAGGAGGCAGGCAGAAATGGGCCAAAAAGGCAGGCAGACGCGCAGGCACACACACGCACGCACGCACACGTATCACCCTGTCTGGGGTGTCCCCACCGTGCTGTGCTCAGGGGAACCTGTTCTGTGCGCCCGTGCCTGGGGTGAAGGTGTCCCCGGGGACTGCTCCCAGCACCTCTTCTCCAGTGGGAACTGGGGTGCCTACGGCAGCGTGGGGTCTCCACAGGATGGGGCAGCAGGCGGTTGGAGTGCAGGGAGGGTGCAGAGGGGGGGGACGTGCCTGGAGGAGGGGGTGCCCAGGACAGACATTCATCGCCAGTCCAGCCATGCTGCAGGGGACAGTCGGGGGAGGATTTTGCCTTTGGGTTGTTTGCCAGGAACTGAAAGAGCCGCTTCAGTTTCTCTCCTGTCCGCGCAAGCGGGCTGGGTCTTCCCACTGGCAGGGGTTTGCTGGGAGTACCCAGGGGTGCAGAGCTGATGGGAAGGGGGATGCACACACCCCACCTCCAGGCCAAGCACCCTGCCCGGGAACACGGCAGCCCAGGGCAGGACTTGCCAAGAGACCAGTGGGAAGTGTCTGATCTCTGGGAGCAGCAGCACAAAATGTACCTGTGAGATGGAAAAACAGCTTAAAATAACTGTGATCCAGGTGTGAGGAATGCAGTGAAATGTGCAACCTGATCCTGTCTCCTGCTGTACATCTCTGTGCCACTGAGATCTGCACTGATGCCCAGTTCCTCTACTCCACTTGTCCCTGTTTCTCCTCACAGGTGACCAGGGGACAGCATGAGGGAGGTTCAGCAGATGAGTGGGAAGAACAAGCAAGCCAGGGCTGGCACTGGAGAGAGCAGTGACTTCCAAAAGAGCTGTTGCTGTTTCAAAGGGACCAGCCAAATGGGGAGAGATGGTGCTGGGATTCACATCTCCTTGGAATCAGAAGTTAATCATAACAGTGGCTACGGAGGAGGCCCTGCAAGCAAGGAAGCAACCCTGGCTAGAGTGCACAGGAGCCCCTGTCCCAGAGCCATGCTTAGAAGGGCATTGCCTGGGGCAGAAACCCCACAGGGAAAGCATCCCTTTCACTTGGGAGCAAGGTGAGCCCAGCCCAAGGTGGAGCACTGCCCTGCTGCAGCAGCAGGCTGGTTCTAGGTCTGCAGCCAGGGATTGGCGAAAGGATCAACACACACATGTAGACACCCCGCCTTAGCCCCATATATCTGTCCCATAGGGCATAGGAGGAATGGGGAGTGTCGGTCAGTGGAGACAAAGGAAAGACAAGTGGAGAAAAGGAGAGACAGGAGCTATGCAGACACTTGGGTGAGAGACCTGGCTTGTGCCTTGATTTTCTAGGACTCAAATCTGCTCACAGGTAGTTTTCCTGGCAGGACTGTTTTTCTGAAGCCCATTTTAGGTCAGTGACAGTGAGGCTACAACACTTGGATCGTCCGAGTAGCCTAGGTTTTGGTGGCAGAGCAGGCCGGGCAGACAGCCTCACCACCGGCTGGGGGCTGCCGGCCGTCCTGGCCCTCAGCACGACGTCTGGCCCGGGCTGCCTGGCTCACACTGCTAATGCAGAAATCCTCTCCTCGGTCTGCTTTTTTTTTTCGGGTCTTTCGCATAGTCCTCACACACAAGTGCATTTTACCACTTCCTTGACATTTTTTGCTTTGCATTACAATATCCTAAGTCAGGTTTCTGCTACTGGGAGTAACTGATCAGATAACTGAGAAATTTCCAGCTCTGCTTAGTTATGTGTATGGCATTGTTTTGATGACTTTGCTCTGATGCTTATTACTGATGATAGAGGCTTCTGTGGTTCTCTTTTGTCTTGGAAAAGTGGAGCGCAGCTTATCCTGGCCTCCTCACTTGTGCTGTTTTAGCACTGCCATACCTGTGTAGCCTAACAGTGGAATTAGGAGTGTCACAGTCTCCTCCAGCAGAAGAAATGCAAGGGTCTCTGCAGGCACTGCTGACATTCATGGTAAAGACCTTTTGCCTCCCAATGGGTTGAGGTGTTCTGGACTCTTTCTACACAGAGGGAAGGATTGTAACTGCTGGAACCTTGTAGCTGAATGAGCACAAGGAGTTGGAGTCAATAGATGATAAATAAACGATAGTAAGCGCTGCTGTCCTGCAGAACAAGCTGCTTCTTACAGAGGAGTAAAAGGTGGCCGAGACCCTGGGATTCCACCTCAGCATGAGCTGCCAGTTCTGGGGGTGCTCCTTTGTTCCACGCAGCTGCAGCAGGACACCCATCCCAGGTGGTTGGCACCCAAATGCAATTCCCTTGTGAGTCCCTTGAGCCCTGACCCAGCTCTCGGGGGCTGACTTGGCCAACAAACCTGGGAGCTGTACAGGCCTCCCAGTGCGAGGGAGAGCTGCAGTGTGGCCACATCCTGGAGAAGGAACCATGTCCCAGCAGACCGGAAGGAAATCCTTGAAAGACCCAGACCAAATCCCCCAAATTCCATTCCGTTCCATTCTATTCAATTCTAAGGATGGAGGATGGAGACAAGCTGAACACCAGCGTGTCAGACCTGAAATGAGATGGCAAGCTGGAAGTGGGCACAAAGTGAAACCAGGGCAGTGCCTGGGCTGTGTTTGGCCTCAGGAAACCTTGACACCTGACTAACACATGGATCTCTGTTGGGACACACACACTTGGCATCAGGGCAAACTTTCTAAGGCTAGAAAACAGAGAGAAAACCAAAGAGAAAGAGTCCCATGACTAAGAATTGTACACTACTGAAACCCGGTGTGTTGTATTAGGGATTAAATTGCCCAAGGCTACTCCATACTTCCCGGTTGCTTAAAAAAAACAAGTCTTGCATGTGAAACAGCATGAGGACTCCTTAAAACGCCACAATCCTCCCCGCACAGCTGCTGCCTGCTGACAGGGCTCATTAAACAATTTATCTCCTGAGCTGCAATCTGCCTGGGCTTGTGATTCAAAGGAAAAACCTGTCCTCTGCGCTGTGCACACAGAGCGATGGGATGCACGCCTTCCCGCTGGTTTCCAGCACAGTCCATTAAACTAATGCTCTGGGTAGGTGTTTCACCACCCAGCTTCACCACAGCAGCCGCATGAGAGGGAAATGCTTCCTGACGGTGGGAAAAAGGCAGATCCAAGTGTATCCCAGGAGGCTGCTGCCAGATATCCCATAACACAGGCGGGTCTGACCCCCTGCGGGAGGGAGAGCTCTGTAGGTAAGGGTAACAAAATCAGGGAGAAAACATATGTAAGTGATAAACACATATGTAAGAAAGAAGGATGTATTTGCTGAATTGCACACACACAAAAACACTAATAAAAATAGGCAAATGGCCATACCGAGTCATTCTAACTCAGGAGTTTGCTTCTGACAGAGGCAGATTTATGCTTCCCTGGTATAACTTCTCTGGTTGTGGCTGTTTGCGGCTCTGGGGCTCCCCAGGCAGCAGCCACATCCCTGTGTTTGCTGGCCCTTATCTAATCAGTGCAAGTTCATGTCCTGGATGCCACCATGCTCTGTAATCCACAGTTTGATAATGTGCTGTATGAAAAAACGTCACCTTTGTTTGCACTTCAAAGTCACTGCCAGCTAATTTCATTCCATGCCCCTGGCTTGTGGGACACAGTGGAAGAGCTGGGACACAGTTCCTTCCCCCCCAACTCCCCATGCAGGATTTTGCAGACCTCAGTCTCTTTCCTAGGCTGAAGGATTTTCATCTGTTTAATTTCCCTTCACACTTTTACTCAACCTTGTTGGCCTCAGTGCATCTCCTGGGGATGTATGTTGGAAAGACACGCAGACACACAGGCAGACAGACAGACAGACACGCGCTCCAGGATGGGCCCTGCCATGAGGATGTGTGGAAATGAGCTCCCAAATACAGATGGACGCAGCTCCAAGTGAAACCCCTCATTGGATGCCTGGTGCAGGTGCCATGAGACGTCCCAGAGCATTGGGAGGTGCAGGCTGAGCGTCCCAGGCAGGTACCACCGCCCTGCCATGGGC